CTACCCTTCGGCGGAGCTTCGTCCGGGTTCCTCTCTGCAAGGAGAGAGTTCGACAGACACCCGACCCGGCAGCTCACAAAGCGCAGATACTACACTTTGATCCCAGCCACCGGGTCGAGCTTTAGTATTATATATACAGATATACATACATACATGTATGCATACATACACACACAAAAAATATACGTTATATATATATATATATATATATATATATATATATATATATGTATATAAATAAAACTAACCATGAAAATATTTTAAAATTTTAATGTGGTAATTTTAAAATTGTAATTAAAATTGTAGTTAAATAAAATGAATTCTAACCTGTTCTTGGTACATACATATGAAACTTTACTACTTAGGTTACATATATTTAAAATAAATAAATAAATTAAGTAATAAATAAAGTTTACTAAATCCGAGAAATGACTTCAATAATTTTGTAGTAAGTTCCATTAATATTACTAAAATAATATTTTAAAATATAAAGGTTTAAAAATTGTAATTTACATATATTTGGATATTAAAAAATAATTTTACTTACTATAGTAATATTCCTTCTGTTATAAAGTAATATAGTCTAATATAACTAACAATGAAAATATTTCAAAAGTTTAAAGTTTTGTAATTTTAAAATTGAAACTAAAATTAAAGTTAAATTGAATGAATTCTAACCTAAGTTTCTTTTAAATAATACTACACGCACTAAAAAGAATCCCAAAAAGCAAATATAGTAAAATAAAATTAATATGAAAATGCCATAAGATGTAAGGACCCATGTCCTTTGTACTTACATGAGAAACATTATATCACTAGGTTTATATATATATATAAAAAAAAAAAAAAAAAAAAAATGTAACCTCATATACATACTTAAACTTAAATTAATACATAAAGTTTACTAATTCTGAGAAATGACTTAGAATTAATATTACTTAAATAATATCTAAATTAAAAAGTTTAAAAATTGTAATTTACATATACTTTGATAGGAAAAAAAATTTTTTACTTACATAGTAATTATCCTTCTGTTATAAAGTAATATAGTCTAAATTAAAACTAACAATGAAAATATTTTAAAATTTTTAAAGTTATAATTTTAAAATTTTAAAATTAAATTAAAATTGTAGTAAAATAAAATGAATTCTAACATGTTATTTATACATACATATGAAACTTTATTAATTGGGTTACATATATTTGAAATAAATAAATTAATTAATTAATAAATAAATAAAGTTTACTAAATCTGAGAAATGACTTAGCTAGTTTTGTAGTAAGTGCCATTAAATATTTAAATAATATTTAAATTTAAAAAAAAAAAAAAAAAAAAAAAAAAAAAAAAAAATTTACATATACTTTGATATGGAAAAATAATCTTACTTAATATGAGTAATTTTCCTTCTGTTATAAAAATAATATAGTCTATTAAAACTAAACAATGAAAATATTTTTAAAATTTTAAAGTTGTAATTTTGAATTTGTAATTAAAATTATAGTTAAATTGAATAATTCTAACCTAAATTTCTTTTTAAATAATACACGCATTAAAAGAATCCAAAAATAACACCTATAGTAAAATAAAATTAATATGAAAATACCATAACATGTAAGCTTTTGAATGACCCATGTCCTCAGTACTTACATGTGAAATATTATAATAATAGGTTTATATATAAAAGAAAAGTTTACTGAATCAGTGAAATTAAGTAACCATTTCTGCTGTCATAGTCATATACATATAAAAAAAAAAAAAAAAAAAAATGTAACCTCATATACATACTTAAACTTAATGTTAAAATAATCCTACATAATATAATGGATTCTAATACATTTAACTGTTCTTAAAAAGAATATAGTAAAATAAAAATTAAAAAGGAAAATATTTTAAATCGTAGTTAAATAAAAGTATTGTAAAAAAAAAATCTTTAATTTTAAAGATGACGTTGAAAATTTTTTTTTTACCGTTAACAATTTTTTTTTTTTTTTTTTTAAATTCAGACGACATCCATTCAACCGACGTCAGGTTTCAGTGTAAATACATCCTCACCCCTTACCAAAAATGTAGCTAATAACTGATACAATGATACTGTCATAAGGAAAATCTAGACACCCGTGTTCAATTTGAGTAGAATATTCTGTAACCATGGAAACGTGATTTTAGCTGTGTATTTAAAACCCAGTAAATTTTAAAAGTTACTCAAAATTCGCTTGAAGATGAAATAGAACTAATGCTTTTAATTTATTTGCAAAAATAAAATAAGGGTTTTTAGCTTCTATTTTTGAAACATAGTTGGAAATGTGTAGCGAAAATAACCATATTTTAAATCAATTAATTTATAATATATATATATATATATATATATATATATATATATATATATATATATATATATATATATATATATATATATATATATATATATATATATATATATATATATATATATATATATATGTGTGTATGTGTGTGTGGCACGAGTGGTTAGAAAGTTCGCATTCTGACTATGAGACCCGGGTTCGAATCTCACCATGGTTGATTTGTCATGAGGAGATTTTTCCTGATGTTATCGGGCTGGAGGGATCGATCAAGCATGCGGTAACTTTAGAAAGTACCTTTAAACCATACCACGGGTAGACCCAAACGTTGTGAATGAAATTGGGTAGCGGGAACCCTTGGATGCCGTCGATAGCTCTGCCAGCAGGATGTCACAGGTCATCGTGGCCGAGGGCCTGAGCCTGCTAGATAACACGCTCTTTCCCAGAAACTGTAAATGAGGTCTACTCTGCATAGTTGCACCATAAACCACAGATGGGCCTTGTGGGTGTTGAATAAACACAAGAGCGCCTGAGAAAGCGTTTGCAATAGGGATTGGCTAGCCGCCCTAGTAGGCGGGTATCCTCGAATACGTGTGGCCAGATATACATACGTACATGTATGCATGCATGCGTGTATGTTTCACTTTTATTAACGCTTCGTCAGAGCCGGAGATATATAGAGAGAATAAAGGAATTGTGGCAATGTTACTTCTGTAAAATGTAATCTCATTAAAGGAAAATATGACAGCGCATAATTTTCTTTAATAAATTCTCAAATATTCAAACCAATATATATATATATATATATATATATATATATATATATATATATATATATATATATATTTAATAAACTATTTAATAAACAGCGTCTACTCAAATATGAGTATCCACTAAAATAAAAGCTTAACGTGATAAAATCTGTTGGATTAAAAATACAAAAATTCATTACTTCTTTAGAAAATATATATATATATATATATATATATATATATATATATATATATATATATATATATATATATACGGAATATTTTAATGCTTTCCGAGATTGTGTTAGTCGTTTAACATTTTCTACTCAGAAAGTATCGAAATAGTGGAATACAAAATATGCTACCATCTCTTTTTAAAGTAAACACACAGGCACCCCCACACACTCATGTATATAAAACACACAGTCAGACAAATAGACATATGTTCACATTCATCATCGATCTATCTATCTATCTATCTATCTATCTATATATATATATATATATATGTATATATATATATATATATATATATATATATATATATATATATATATATATATATATAAAACTCTCTCTCTTTATCTCTCTCTCTCTCTATATATATATATATATATATATGTGTGTGTGTGTGGATATATCAAGGAGAATTTATACAATTTGCGTGTTAGAAAATGGAAAATATAATGATTGAATGGGTTATTAGTGATGAAAGAAATAGGTGTGCCAGGTGAAATACAGACAGTATTAGATGGAAAAGTATCATGGAAAAAATATCGGCATTAGAAACGTATTTTTCACAATTCAGCGACCACCCTTCCGAAACACAATGATAATGTCGGTATACTCTTAATTCCCCTATTCATTCCATGATTCTGTGCGCGAGTCATAAAGAATAGAAACTTGGAAAAAATACAAGTCAATATAAGCTCAGCTGAGAGGAGTGTCTCTTATCAATAGAAAGAAGTGACTTACAATAGAGCTGCTCTGCCTCGTTTTGGAGTTGCCTTGATCTTAGCCCTGTGATTGGCTCACTTGTCTTCCGTGCTCCTATTCCTTTCGTTTCAAACAACTAAGTTCGGATGAACGTGTTTCATTAATGTATTATCTATCATATTTTATCATTTTTTTCTATGGATATCTTTGTCATTTTGTGAAAATATAAGTATTGCCTGAAGGATCATGAGATTTACAAAGCTGTTATAATCAACAACAAAAGCAAAAAAGAGAATGATACTATGATCTTAAAATGAATAAAACTCGATATTTTTTTTTTCCATGAAAGCGAATAAGATATTTTCAAAATAGTCTGATAACTGATTTGCAAATATCGTGTCAAGAATTCATGAACGTATGTTTATGGGAAAAAAATTAGAGATAACTTTTTAAAATATCTCTTGCTTCTTGCTGATAGAGAACATATTAAAGACAGAAGCTTTATAAATATATTTAAAGTTTAGTACAAGGGCAGGCAGATTATGGAAGAAGAATGCACATTCAAATGTGAAATCACCTAGCCGAGTTCAATTTTCAGCATCGGCAGCGTTCACTTTCACACTAATGTTTTTGCGATAGGTATGCATCTGTCCTGTCTACTCCCACCAGATCTTGTTTAAATATTGGAGTAGATTTCTAAGAGAAAAGAAAGTCTGGATTCAAAATGCACATCTTGCCAACACGTTGCATGTTATTTAAAGTCAAAAATATTTTTAGAAGAATTTTTTTGTGGGGTGGGGATCATAATAATTTAATGATTACAAGTCTTACTAATTAACCCATAGTAGGGGGAAAAGATGTGGATTCATACCCTTCCCACGGGTATTTCTGCGCAAGTGAATACAACGAACCCAAGTGGAATTGGACCTCGGCTCTCCGATTAAAAATTCTGAACCAGTATCCATTACACCACACACACACACATCAAAGTTTACAACACCTGGTATTCTCAAGCGGTCAGCCATCAATGTACTAACCAGGCTCGACGTTGCTTAGCTTCGGTGATCATAAGAAGGCAACAGAAAGCAACTCTATTAATTTTCCCACGAAAGATTTTCAATTGACTTTTAGTGTTAGTTCATTATCAATGGGGTTTAACATGATTTTAAGAAAAACTGGTAATGTATTACTTGTTACTGTTTCATCAATGTATATTCACTTTAATTTATTATTTAAAGTTTAGGTAATACAATTTTGCATGGATAATTTATTTAAAAATCATCGATATATGCATAAATCATCAACGAAATCGTTATATGTGACAATTAGTGTGAGACTGGAGCTACGATTCAAGCCTATCTATTACAGTATCACCAGATAAAAAATATATTCCCTAGTTGGCAAATGAAGCACATACTTGCCAAGAACACATATACCATACATTTACCATACCTTTTTAAAAAAGTATTTGATATATTTACTGACATATTCAATACTTTTTACACGTCGTTAAACAAAATGATAAGAAGGAAAATATTATCAGAACAAGAGATTTAAAGTTCAAACAAATATAACGTTGACTGTTCGGTCAATGAAGGCTAAATACCTCCTTTATGGAAATGGTTAGTCTCACTAGTACCTTTAACAATAATAAGGTAAACTTTATCACTATTTCCTACAATATTTTCTCACTTAGTAACATCAAGTAAGCACAAACAAATCATGGATTTGCTATGTTGTCGACAAACAAATTGTTGTGGATTTCGGGATGAAATCCACTCTCAAATGAATGACAAACGCAGGAATGAAATATAGCAAATAAATGTATTGACGTAATAATACAATTGGTAATACGGTTAGTAGATCCAGAAATGCGGTTAGTAGCAATAATAATATATATATAGTCTGGGAAATTCAATATCGAAGTATGACTTCCTTCTGAGTCTACGTGCTCGCAACTGTTACTCATACAAAGCGGTTACCTCACACTCTCACTCCCGGGTATTCACCGGCAGCAGTACAAGTACACACTGGGTGAGTCCACTTGTATAGAAAGGGGTGGACCCCTTAACACAAATAAATATTACTTTAAAGTATATCCTCTCCATCGATATAGAAATAAATAAAACTTGTACCATGATAAAAATGATCCAACTACAAACATTATCACTCAAACTCTAAAGTCGTTGCATCAATAAAAAAAGCAGAAAAATGTGATGCAAATCCCAAAATAAACGTAATAAATATATAATATTCTCCTACAAAAATATGACATGTAACCTCGCCATCACTAACAATGCTAGCCTTAAAGAAAAGTCCACACTACCACATCAATCTAACCAATGTATTCTCATACCCACTGGAAAACTGCATTGTCTATTAAAGTGAAGCACAAAAAATCCATAAACACTACTATATCACGCAGATTCACTAGTCATCTCGCAAATCCCAATACAGTCCGCACCTGTGCATTACACATACATCAACTGGTAATACAACCTCTACAAACAAAGGAAATAGACTCTTAAACAGCACATATACTATATCGTAATTTATGTGAAAAACGTAAATAATAAAAGATTAACCATAAATTAAAGGTGAAACAAATAATAGATACTAAAGTCAATTTTCCTCAATGATGGAACACTGGTTTTAAAAGTGTTCAACAAGTGCCGATACGTTTAATCAATGACAACTGTTGCTCACGCCATGATGCAAGTGACGTCAGCATAAAACAAATCGATCAGTAAAATTTTTTAAAACGGTATCGAATGAAAAAGACAAGTCGGCATAATCCTCGATTATTGAAAGTGCAGTCACTGACATACATACTTGCACGTCGATTTTAAGAAACAGAGCATCAATATATATATATATATATATATATATATATATATATATATATATATAGGGTTAGTTAAATGAAATAACTAGATATTAGCGACCGTATTCGCGCGTGCAGGTGTGGATAAGTTGGTAAGCAAATAAATAATTACCAAATTTACCCAAGAGCTGTAGACATAATAGTGCCCAGTGTGATTAGACAGAGCTAAGAAATATATATTAATAAATACACATATATTTACGTTTGGTGTGCCACTTAAGTTTCATTGACTACCCAACTCGTCGCGCAAAAATATAGCCCGACGATTTCATAAAATAGTTGATATTGTATGATTGATTATTATTGTTGACTTTACATATATATATATATATATATATATATATATATATATATATATATATATATTTGTGTGTGTGTGTGCAACAACAACACTGCACACAAAAAGACAATGCTCATGGTGATGCTCCTCAAAAGAACTTCTGTTTACAGAGTTCCATTGGAATAACTCACTGGAGAAAGCTTTTCTTTGTGTAACTGTTTTTCTAAATAAGGGACTGCTCTGAATTTCAAAAGAATTTTGACATATACATATATATATATATATATATATATATATATATATATATATATATATATATATATATAAGTCAACAATAAGAACCAATCTTGCAATATCAACTACGATTTTCTCGACAGTATTTTTATCTTACCAGTTTTACGTTAATAGGATTTATATATCATTTATTTATAGATTTAATTTGAGATCATTTCATACCTTCAGTGATGTTAGACATGTTTTGCTTCCTCTGCCGCGTAAAGAAAAATCCATTTTTTTTTCATTCTAATTACTTTTCTTGACATAAAAATAATAATAATAATAATAATTTTTCATCTTCTTGTTCATAAATCTCTTTTTTTATCAAAAAACCACGTATATACGTATTCCTATATACCATTTAATAACTAACACTTCCTAAAGGAAAAACAATATCACTCGTAATATTTAGCTTATTATTGCCATCAGCATGATTACTGCTTTCATTAATTCTAATGTTTTTACCTCTGTATATTTACGTGGCAATTACTTCAGTAAAATATATAGCAATAATAATTGTTACAGATAGTGTACATAATTATTAAGTTATTTCTTTTTTTTGAAAAATGAAAAAAAACTACCAATTTCATATACATGCCTGTACATGAAAATGATTCTGGTGTCTAACTATAATAGAGGTTTTGAAAAAGGTTACAGGAGCTATAAAAACTTGGGTGAGATAGAACTGGGTTATACATAAAACAGTGCATCTGCCCAAGGCTTACTTCGAAAGTAGTTCAGAATTAAGGTTTTTGTTGTGTGTGTATATTATATATATATATATATATATATATATATATATATATATATATATATATATATGTGTGTGTGTGTGTGTGTGTGTGTATATATATATATATATATATATATATATATATATATATATAATTTTTTATATATTATTTATATATGATATATTGGTACTTAGAAGGAAAATGATAGATCTAACATATTTAGTTGTAATGATGAGTTTCTGACCTGGATTTCACGTCTTTGCGATCGTCAGACAATCGTAGGTGGGAGGCGGTGAGACCCAGAGTCACAAAACATCAATATAACTTTTTATATATATATATATATATATATATATATATATATATATATATATATATATATATATGTGTGTGTGTGTGTGTTACCTTGCATGTGTGCGCGTATGTGTTTAGACAGTACATGATTCATTAAAGGTGACTGATAATTTTAGTCAATGTTACGGATATAAATAATTTTCTATTTATTTTTTATTTAGTGTACGTATCATGCCAGTAATGTTATTGTGTGTGTATATATATATATATATATATATATATATATATATATACAATAAAAACAACAAAAGTCAGACAATTATTTAGGACGTTTTTTTATGTTTTTATGTTTATAGATACAAATATTTTTAATAGATAATAAACAAATATTTAATATTTTCGGAATGCGTCGGACAGGAATCGAACCTGTATCCCTATACGGGACCATATAGCCTGACCATAACCGTTTGGACCACAGAGGAGGGTTCGGTTAGCAAGGTCGATTTTACAGTTTTTAAACACAATTCTCCATGACTTTTTTCTCATTCAGTCATATTTGCTCAATGCGTATCCAAATGTAAACAAATGACGTCATACATTATGAAATGAATAAAGTCTGACAATTATTTAAGACAATCGGTTAAGGCACGTCAGACTGTATGATGGTTCCGTATAGGATACAGGTTCGATTCCTGTCGGAGGATGAATATTTTCTATGAAAATATCTCGTATATTCAGTCCAGTAAATGTTGTTAATACTGTCTATTTTAAACAGAGCATTGACGTAAATATTTGTAAAGAAGGTATAAACATAAAAAATGTCATAAAATGTGTGTGTTTATATATATATATATGTCTTAAATGTGTGTGTTTATATATATATAGAGAGAGAGGATATATATATATATACACAGAGAGAGATAGGATATATATATATATATATATATATATATATATATATATATATATACACACACACACACAGAGATAGGATATATACATATATATATATATATATATATATATATATAGACACACTGTTTCGCAGCTCATCAGTGTGGCTAGACATCCGGTTGCCTCTAGCTAGGATCGAAACCCGACTGAATTGGTGTCAGTCGGAGATTCTACCACTAAGCCGTCGGCGCACAACAGGGATGATGGTGAATTTTAGTGTATTTATTTTTAGAAACACACACAGTGACCGACACTCAATTCACTTTTTGCGAAGAGTCTCGCTATATATAGCTATAATAGTCACTGTTTACAAATCCACACCTCCTCCCCAGAGAGCTCAACCGAAATTAATTTTTCAGGAGCCAGTATATATATATATATATATATACAGATTATTGCAGCAAAATCCGACACTTGGCAAAAAGAAAACGAAATAGGCAATAAAAACAAAAATTGTATATGCAGAGACCCGACAGTTTGACAACTAACTAACGCTTTTCTCTCTACCCTTTTCCAGGATGAAATATGAGCGAAGAGAAGTGGTAGTAGCTTCTTTTCGTGTCGGGAAGAAACCTGCGGAAGTGATGGCTTGGTTTGGGTTCAAGAGGACCATGGTCATGGACATTTGAAGGAAGTGGTAGGCGTGTGA